ATAGGGCGATTATCATTAACCTCGTCTGTGTCTCCGGATTTGAAAAACTGGTGATACAGTGCCACGTTTCCAAAGCGATGGGAAGTAACCGGTGACTGGATACGTTTTAAAGATAACAGTTAGATAATACGCCGTTGCAGGCAGACTCTCTGATAAAACGAAAAGCAATGCCATCTGCTCCACAGTATTAGTTTCACACAGGCGTTTTACAGTAAGGATTACTCTTTCTGTTTTTTGATGGATGTGGTTTGAAATTATTGGTTGGAAGCCTTATCCTACCAGTGTTCTGCCGAGATGTGGAAGCTGTTGTTTGTTCACAATTAATTTTCCAGTTTCAGCGATGAAGTCATCAAAATGATATGTACCATTTTTGGAATTTGAACCAATGCCTCCGTGATGTCTTTAATTCGGCACTAATATTTTAACCATCTTCTATGTCTTTGCAATTAGGTAATTCATTTCTGATATAATTGATTTTGGCAGCTGGTATCAGTGTTTAGATAATTCTCTTTGTTCATAATCGGACTGAAGGGCCACGTCAAATCCGTTGTTTTCGAAAAATTGTGTCATTTCTATCTGCTATAGCTTTCTTGATGTCATTTAACAGTTTTTGCAACCAAGGCAGCGATGACATTTAAGTGTCTTAAATTACTTCTGTGGAGACATTTACCCGCTTGTCTACATTACCTGTTTGGAAATTTTCTAGAAGAGTTGATTTGTTGGTTATGTGTTGGCATAGTGACTGAGAATCGTAGTCAGTTAAGGCACAGAAACTTTTTATGATTTATGGCCGCTTTGATTTATTTATATTAAGCGTCATTATTATGAGTTCGAGATCAGCAACGTGGCATGGGATGACCTTTGTATGGTGAATGATATTAGCTCTGTTTGTTATGACTGAACATTTGTTCAACTTTGTTTTACCTAACTTTTACCTATCACTCTTAATAGTTGTAGCGGACATTTAATTTGTGTTGATAGCATATCGTACATATTTCCAGGCTCCTCCCTCGCGTCAGTTTCTTTCCCTTGTGAGCATTTGAATTTCATCCTAATGTCCAATTAGAGACTGTGCATTAATGTGTTCTCTTTTCAGCATTTGTGATCTGAGCGTCGGCTTTTCTATTTTAAAACGATTTAACATTCCTTGAGAAAGCGTCAAAGTCTTTCGGCCTCTTTCATTTACCATAAAACTAGTATATTAGTTAAAGGTAATTTTTGTTTTGTGCGTTTTTACTCTTGATACATTTTATGTCCGAGAGGCGTTCTTCGATGCCCTCTGCAGCTGTGTCGGACGGCATCGTGTGATGTAGAGGTACACTGTCTCAGCTCGATCAGCTCCTGCTCAGGGCTTTGTCATTCCTCTCTTGTTTTTATCTTTAGTGTCCTAGATGTGACTGTGACGAATCCTTCATCGTCAGCGTCTTGTCCCGCCCCTTCTGCTTGGTTGTTGATCACGACCGTCGGCACCACTGGAGCTAGGGGTGGAGCTGGGGGGGGGGGCAATGGGAGGAGGGACTCCTGGCACCTGGTGATGGTGATGAGTTGCGTCGTTGCACTGACAGTTAGGCTCGAGTGCCTTCTGGTTGTTTTTCTCTTTGTTTTGTTTCGCCTAGGTGTTCCTGGTGCAGATGCCTCGATTTTCTTATCGGCTGGCGGGTTATGGAAGGACTGCTCGGGGAGGTTGGCGGGCCAGCGAGGACGCACGCCTGCTCCTCGCTGCGGGCGGGAGAGAGCAGAGGTGGGCGGAGGGGGAAGGGAGCCGGGAGGGTCGCCGCTCACGGGAACAGCGGGCAGGGAGGGTTTGGTGGGGATTCTTGGGTAGAGGCAGAGGGCATCCTGATGGGGGGAGGAGATGCAAATGGGAAAGACTGGCAGGAGGATTGGTCGAGGGAGGGGAGGGGGGGCGGCTGGTTTGGTGGGGGGGGGGCGGGTCTGCAGCTTCTCCGCTTTCCTGCTTCTGACTTATCATTTTGTTAAATGTTGACTACTGTGCGGAAAGCATTCCGATCGAAAGATCAATTTTGTCTTCTATTATAAACTGTCATTATTGAAGGAATATGTTTGGTGTATTTACCTTTCTGAATTTCTATTTTTTTAAGAACTTAATGAAAGATGTAGAAATACCAGTTTTTTCGGTGGCATCCGGGGAGTGGTGGGGCATCACGACACGTGATATATTAATTATGATATTATGGGCCTTTTTACATTTCTTCTCAACACAGAAAAGAAATCTAGCTAGTCCATGTTTTTTTGTGGCAACAAAGCATGGGACAGGTCGATTTCATAGACTGATTATTTTCCTTTTTCTTTTCTTTGATATATAACAGGCCACCATAAATCAATGTCAACCATGGCATTATTGTCTCTACCCACTCCCGTATAGATGGAGT